TTGAAACGTAGTATAATATAATAAATACACTATGCTAGCCATATGAGTTGTTGGTAGAAGAGAAAGCTTGTACCGTCTACGTTTCAAAATACGCCACCAACTCGAAATAGGTCAACGATACGTGGATCGATGGGACGTCATCTGCCCTTTCAATGCACTTTGAGCGATTGCAAATTGTAGATAATGAAGTTAAGTCACAAAAAATATCACAAAAATACACTATGCTAGCCATATGAGTTGTTGGTAGAAGAGAAAGCGGCCCGATAAGGCCTTCTTCTCCTGTAGCTGACCATTATGGCTGGATACAGTTGCGTTCATACTTTGCGATAACGTCCACTAGCGCTTCGAGCATCCGCAACGCCAGCTACTGGGAAAGTGCAGATATCGATCTAAGTCTGGCAGCGTCTACCAGCGTCTATCAGCGTCTGGGGCTGGGAAGTACAGGTATCGATCTAGCGTCTACCAGCGTCCGGAAGAGGAGAGGGAGGCACGGTAGGAGGGAAGCGAACGAATGGTACCCTCCTATCGCGTCATGCTCTCTACCAGCACTCTGCACCCTCCTTTCTCACCATACTCGACCAGCGTCTGCTACCCTCCTATCGCGCTATGCTCTCTTCTCCCGAACGCTGGGACACGCCGGCAGACGCTGGCAGCGGCTAATTCAATATCTATACTTCCCTAGCCTTGAGGCGCTGGTAGACGTTGGCGAGCGCTGGAAGACGCTGGTACACGCTAGATTGACATCCATGCTTCCCCAGTCGCTAACGTTGCCGCACGCTCGAAACGCTAGTGGGTAGTAGTTTGCTGCCGCAAAGTATGAACGCAGCCTAAGATGGTCATGATTAGCAGTAAGGCGCGAGAGGGATACACTGAAATATGCGGGAGAGAGACCAGGCGGCAGAAGGCCATCACAGGGATACGGGTAACACAAGCCAGTATAGGCCTTTTGAGAGTCCATGGGCTCCACATTCAAAGGACCTGTACACTCACCGCGAGGACGGTCCTCGCCGTGTACAAGGGTAATGGCTCTGCAGTCGCCTTTTTCTTTCAAAAGTGCAGGGAGTTGAAGGCAGTGATGCTACTGTGCCGCGTCCATACTCCGCCTGCGCTGTCCTCAATGTGCAGCGCTTGCGTCGATGCCAAAATCCGTAGAGAAGACGTTGTCAAGGACAGGGAACATAGTAATGAAAAAGCGCAGACAAGCAGTGCGGTTAGCTATGATTGGGCGTGTACCTATCGGTGCTGCAGCGTGGGCAGAGTCGGCAAACGGCAGCGCGCGTAGCCACCCTCCAGCTCCGTTCCAGCGCACATTTGAGCGGAAAAAGTGAAGACCATGGAGACCTGGTCCTTGCAGTGCGCTAGCGCTTGCAGTGTGCGCTACAGCTTTTCTTTGAGCTTCCTGGGCATTGCTTGCCAAGCTTCAAGCTTTGTTGTACAGCCTCTGCTATTGCCGGCTGAGTCATCTTGGATACTGAAGAGGTTCCGACCTTTGCTACTCACCTTTAACACGACAAGTTGGACCGCTTACCTGTACCACATTAACACCGAACTTCCACAAAGGAATCAAAACGATACCCAGGCCGAATAACAGACAAGAGATTGAATCCAATAGAGGTGGAAAACGACTGACCGAGATCTACGACGAAGTAGGTGTCCACTGATCTGATTATGGCCAACATGATCAGGGCACCACTAGTGAGCATGCCATCCCAGCAAATGAACGTTACGCTTACTTTCTTCGAAGAGTTTTGAAAGGTGGTCATAACAAACCGTATCACTTGTTCCTAGTTTTGATGAATGTAAAGCAAATGTTAGAGTTATCTTGAAGTAAAATAGCTGGTTTCATAAATCGCGACTGGGTGATGCCGAAAGTGTTAAAGTGTGCGATGTTGCGATGTGGCAAAACTCGTCCATTGGGCTCGGCGTGGCTAGCCACGCCCACTCGCGAGGCATTTTTCGATTGTATTGTCATATACCTTCGAAAGAGGCGCTGCAAATGAAATCACGTGCGCGCCATCGGCACCAGACCCTAGCTGATTATGGTAAAAGCCAGTTTGCAATACGCTGCTGGCTCACCTCAGAGCGGACGTACCGTAGCCAGTCCCAAACACGCCCTTAATGTTTTTTTTTCGAACTTGGTAGCTCAGTAATCCAAACAGTGGCTGAGCCTTGGTGCAGCTTGGAGAGGAAAGGGTGGGAACCACTCGCCAACGCCTCCGTATCTCTTTCTCCCACCAAAGCTCAGGCTCGGTGAGGATTGGGGGATTATCCTCCGGCCACTATCATCTGCGCCCTAGGTCTTTTTGGGTAAAGAATACAGGGGCGCAACGAAGGGTCCCCTCTCAACTACGTTAGCGCAATGTTCTGGAGAGTGGTTGAGTTTATGACAAATTAGTAAGCTACCATCGATATTCAAGGGAACCAAATGGTGATAGAATGCCAACCGGCCAATTTCGGGGCGTGCAGATGAGCAGTTGAAAGCTTCCCTTTCAAACGAGTCCGGTACCAGCCCTACTGTGTAAAGTATGCAAACCGGGACTAGTGGAGCATTGAAAGAGCAAAATGCCCCCCCCCCCGTCGCCGAATCGCGCCGTTTCAGAATACTATAAACTGTTGCTACAGTCAAGAACCCCGCAAAAGGTTGAGCGTAGGAGGCCCACAACAGCCGTTCTCGCCACTTGTTGTGGATTCAGGTTCACGATGGCATCTTTGGTGGAAAAGGCCATCGTGGCTTTCCCCAGGCCTTTCTTCAACTCCACGCCCCGCCCTATCGTTTAGGATATGGACTAAAATGCAACCTATTCAGAAGGAGTCATGTAGACTTCGATAAATTGACCGGTCTACTCTCAGGAGCTCTTAGCGAATCATCAACTTTGGCAAACATTGTTATTTGTAAGAGTGTTTCATTTATGTTCCGAGCTCACTTAAATGCAGCAGGTTCTGATGAACCAACAAATCCACCTTTAGTGTTCCTTGACCAAGTGAGTCTGTCCCCAGAATTTATACCCGTTCGCCTTCCATAACAGAGGAGTAAAAGGGAAGCTGATTGCACTGTCGTCGAAAGGAGTGTTCTGATCTCACTCCTTCCTGTTATTTGACATAGTTTTCCCGCACATTGAGAGGAGTTACAGAGCGACATGCACTTCTTCTGGGAGACGGAGTAAGTAAAAAAGGAAGCTTTTCTGGTCAACCAGTTGGGATGTGTGGCTTACGCTTCAAAGTTTGATCCTCAAATGGTGGGGGATGAAGATGGTACGGTCTTGTTCGCTGCAGATGCTGGGGCGTGTTGGGGAGAGCTGGGTTTGGCGTAGGTACCAGCCAGTTCTCCGCCGAATGTGGTCGCCTATCAGCTTCCACAGCTTGTGAAGAACGGGTTGGCGCCCTGCTAAACCCTTGACATGGTCCAGTGTCCTGCAGCGAGCAAGACTGTAAGGCTGTCAGCGAGCCACTACAGTATCACAATGTGGAATCAACTGCGTCCTGAAATGATTGCTGAGAAAATGACACTCTGCTCAGCGTCTAGGCCCCACATTACGGTTACCTCGGTGGCCTCAAAGGCAGTGTTTACACTTCGCGATGAAGGCGCTGTAGGCGTCAACGAGCTATGACGGGTTACTGCTTTGAGAGAGTATGGGAGGGGCGCGTCGCTTAATGACATTGCCTGGTATCGCTGGCCCCGGCCGCTGTTGGTTTGGGACTGCCCATGAGGACAGGAGCATGTCATACTATGTGAGTAGGCAATCCGCACTCTCTTTCCGTCTCATACACTCTCGAAGCCCATTGGAACCCGTCCATAGTACTGGAGCGCTGATGCAACGGTAGCGCGTAGACGCGCATTGTCTCAGAGTCTGAACGCTGCTTATGTCCACTAGTTGTGCGCTGATATCGAAAGAAACGAGACAGGATATCACCTGTATCACCTGTGCTCCCGTTGATCATCGAGTTCCTCGAGCGGGCGCCAGTAACGTCTCCATTCGTCCCTGCAACGTGCAAGAGTTGCCCAATGGACTCTCTCTGCTCGAGGGACACGATGAACTTCATACCATTCGTTCAGAGCTTTCACGAAGAAGTCTGACCATCGCGTAGGCGGTCGTCCAGGCGTTCGCTTGACATCCCGTGGAATCCAGTCGGTGATCGCTCTGGTCCAGCGGTCGTCCTCAAACGCATGACGTGCCCGGCCACCTGATCTTCGAAACCTTGGCAAATGCGGTTGATCTGGCGGCGTCTCTGATCTTCGATCGTCGGCGGAGTGCGGAGCTCCGGATTCCCTCTCTCACTTGCGTGTAGCGGGAAACTCCGAGCATCGCCCTTTCGATGGCGCGTTGAATAACGCCAACCGCATGCTCATCCTGCTTTCGTAGAGTCCAAGTCTCTGAGGCATAAGTCAAGGCAGGAAGGACCGCGGAATCGAAGAGGTGGGCACGGAGCTTGGTGTTCTTCGTTCTTGAAGGCTCCCAAGCCGCTCGCTTCCTCCTGCTCAGCTCTGGAGCTAAGTCATTCATCATATTGATTTCACGACCTAGGTACACATAGCTAGAGCATTCAGAGATGGTCGTTCCGTTGAGCGTGAATGGGGCATCAGAAACCAATCCGTTTCTCATGAACATCGTCTTCGTTAGATTCAGCCGTAGACCGATTTTTCCACACGCGCAGTCGAATTCAGCCAGCATTCGTTCCGCTTGCTCGATGTTTGGTGTTATCAAAACGATGTCGTCAGCAAAGCGGAGATGGTGTAGTTGCCGACTTACTGTTCAGGAAGGTCGTAAGTCGAGTTTATTGACTACAGATAGCAGGCAGATTGGCGAATGTCTGCTATCTGTAGTCAATAAATTGCCAATGTCGTACAGATCTCCCTTCTTGTACAGCAACACAGTCTTGCTGGTTTTCCACGAGGTGGGTACCTTGCATTCCGACAGGTAGCGCGTGAAGAGTCGAGCCAGAGTTTTGACAAGAACTGGCGGAAGATTCTTCAGATGTTCGGGTCTGATCCATTCTTAACTGACGAGACGAGCGACGAGAAAAGATAACGGCACGCTATTCCAGACTCTGATAGTATTTGATGTTGAACAAAGAAAGAATGCATCACAAATCCTTCACCTCAAACGCATGCCAAAAATCGGTTTAGTTTCCTATAGATTTCAGGTACGTTCTGAAAGCTGTAAGTTATATGCAGCCATGACCCCTGCAAACGATAGGAGCGTGCGACGGGGCATGGATTGGAACGCTGCAAAGGCGGCCTTTCTACCAATGATGCAATGCTGAGTCCGCGGAAAATGGCGGAAAGGGATTTTCTAGCTGCGTATCAACACACGCCTTATCATTTGCAGGAATCACGACTATAACTCTTGCAGTTCCCCATCATTCCATAAAATGTTGTCTAAAGGTATATTCATCTTGATCACAGTAGCCGTAGAACAAAGTTACCATTTTCCAGACGAATGCACCTACAAGGTATATAGTCAACCCCAACTGCGGAATACTATCAGATGATAACCCTATTCCGGTACTTTTCTTTTGAGAACGTTCATACCAACTGCGGGATAGTTGATACCGCCGCAATCAGTAGGAACAGCATATTGGCTCATTTCATCCCTCCTGGCTACAGGACACGCCGTCGTTGTGAAAACACGATGGGGGTCGTAGCTGACAGCGAAGGAGGGAGGTGGTCGCAAGCGCAGGGCTCATTAGGAAGTGGGAAGAACAACAATTCTGAGATTTCGTACAATCAGCGATCGAAAAATTATTTACCTATGATTCTTGCTGTGAAGAGACACCCGAAGGCAGAAGCAACTTGCAGGCCAGGCGCTGCGTGAAGCCTTTTCCAAGGAGGGTACCTCTATAACGCCCTTTACGTCCCAAACGCCTTCCTTGCCCGCCCGCCCACAAACGGACGACCGTTTCTGACGCTCGTATTCATTCATTTGCTGAGCAAATTATGAAGCAAAGGGATTGGTATGAAGCGGCGTGATGCTGCATGCATACATGGGTACACATATGCAGCCGTATCTTCGGTAGCGGTGATTGGCAAGATGCCTACGGGAAACTCGTCCGAAATCGATTTTCAAGTCACTGAGAACGGAGGCTTTTTTCGCAGGATTTTGACCGTTTCACTCCGTTCTTTCGCCATTTCCCCACTATACAGCGCCCTACTAGCATTTTAGGCTAAGTAGGAAACCATCGTGCCAACTGCCTTTAAGGACCGGCTGATTGCTTCAGTATCAACTATAAAAAGAAGTAGTAGTGCTGTAAAAACCGCAAGAAGCATTTCAGATAAAAATTGAGCTCGTTGGCAATCGCTTCAATCCACAACACAAACTAATTTTGCAAGCTGCTCTTATAGAAAACAAAGATGACTGGCAAAGGGTACATGTCTGGATTTTGTTCAGTTTTGAAACTGTTACCAGTCTACACCCCTAAAAGTTTTCGTGAACCAAAGAAGACCTAGTTCAGTGTCACTACAAAAAAAACAAATGAATTATGAAACTTCTAAATTACTGTTTCCGCCGTAGAACAACGGGACGACTAACAAGCCGAGCCAGTCGAACCATCGATTGGCAGAATTCCAACAAATAGATCGGCTTTATTTCACTATGCAGAGAACCCCGGTATTTTTATGAATAAACTGTCGAACATCAGGATCAATGACCTTTTGAAGCATGACTACGGTTATCGAGTATCAGCACGGTTTTCAAAAATTCTCAAAAACTGCCCCCTTTGCACATACAACAAGCATAAAATATCGTATTTTCTCAAAGGCAAACTGTACACTCGGTTAAAAAGATCCCGGTCCTTTCTCCGGTCAAAATGTTCGGGACAAGGCTTAAGGGTAGTGATAACCTAGTGCCGTCTCCATACTCAGCCTCGCGGTGCCGCGCGGTCATCCACACTCCTAACCTGAGCCAAACGCTCGGCCTGTCTGGACCCTCTCACTTACGGTTGCTCTACAAACTAAGTGCGTGTTTCGCCGCGGGATTTTGTCACTGACGCAAGTCCATTGAAGATAGCTCAGGCGGGGTACGGAGACGGCTCTCACTTACCGTCAAATTCGAATCCCTTTCCTGTGCACTTTTCAGCGGAGAAAGTGGCACTCTACTACATTCTGCGGACCCATTCGTCTCGCCTAGCCTATGAGTAATTCTATTTATCTGTTAGCGGAAATTACCTAAGTAATATCGATAGCTCAGGTTTGGGAAGACGCAAGGACCGATAAACCGGGTGTGTATCAGAATTTGTGGATCGAGCTGAGTACAACGGTGATGAACCTCGAGCAAGCACAGAACTTCAACGAACACGAAACGTTGGTGAGTACTTTGCTCAAAATAAAACGAGTTAGGATGTCTTCGCCAACCAAACCAGACTATAACAAAATCTCTCAGAACGCGTCTGTTGCTGTTGGACAACTTCTTAACGCTTCCAACTCCAAAAGGTGCCGATAAAGTGAAGGAATTACAAGGCGAGTGTTAAACGGTCACGGCCCATTCCGCGCTTATCATGAGGGCGGACAAAGAGAACCACACCATCGGTTGGAGTTGTTGTCTTCTACTTCTGCCAGACGAGGTTTTGAGGCCTTGTTTGGCATGGATGAAAGACAACAAATTCGATCCAAGCGAGGCTTTTAACAAAGGGAAACACTGAGTCTTTAGGGAAATGGGGCACTTCCTCGGTGTTCTTTTTCTCCTCTTCCGTTGAACAAATGAAACCGATCGTCGCTTATCGCGGAATATGGACGTGGCTTCATAATGAATGTTGGTTTCAGATCTCAAGTCATTACTAGAAGCAGATATAAAAACTATACTGAAAAACATCGAGCAAACAAACAACCTGAAAGGGATTATTGAGAGACAGCTAGCAGAAAGGTAGTTTCACGCGCTTTACATCTACAGATTATTCTCCACATGATACATTCCATATCACGTTGATGGGTAGGGCGTGGCGGCTAACTTCTTATGAACTCGGCTGCGTCTGCGCTTCTGATTTAGCATTTTGGTTTCAAAACAATTGCAATCATGTCCTTGTCCAGCACCAAATCGAACTATACTACGAAAAACACATTCTATGCCTTGCTTGAATGAAGCAAGGGCCACGCCTACCCCATCTCTGGGACACATACATAGGGGCGCCAAAAAAGGACCCTTTTCTTCCTCGATTTTCAAAGCGATATAAGTTGCACTTTATTAAATTCTGATTGGACATTTCCACCATCATATTCAACAGCACATTGTACACTATCATGATACTCCGCCACAGCCTTCTGGACGAGCGCCATCGAGAGATTCTGCCACGCGACCGTGATTCGGTGCCTGAGTTCAGCGAAGATGTTGATTTCTCCGCCACTGTAGACCAGCCTATTGGGCTCCGCTCGAGCCCGGTAATCGAGGTGACACACTTATATTCCGTCTTCTTCAGCTCAACGCCCCTCGATTCCAAGTAAGCGAGAGTTAACTCTTCAGTTAGTTTTTTTAACTCTCTTCAATTCCATGTGCTGGCACCCAATCCTGTAGCAGTACGAAGTTTCCAAGATGGTACAGGCGACGACATGAAGGGAGGATATTCTCTCGAGTTGGTCGATGTAACCGTCAGCGCTCACCTTCAGTGGGGTCCACAAAAAAATATTTCCGTTCCATCAATTTCTCCATGTCATCAACCCGCGCCTTAGCGACTGCGGCGAAGATGAAATCCTGGATCGTTGTCGGAGCTGCTCGATGTTGGAGATCTTCCAGATGAAGAGTGCTAGTCTCCAAGTCCATGGATACTCCATACAAGAAGTTTCGCAGCTGTTTGGAGGTGACGTGAATTCCATAGGCCTTCTCCAGTCAGGCTGCGAGATGGCTTCATATTTTGGTGTACATGAAGGTGATGGGCGAGAGCCTGCTCCTGCTTATCGAGGAACATCTTGGGTATCTTCCGCCCTGGTACTCGTATCCACGTCCTCTGGGCTGCGAAAACTTTGCTGATATGTGACTCGGCCAAAATGTCATTTTTTGCCCCCCCCCCTGTACATTATGTGGATATCCATTATTAACAACGATGCTTCAAAAGACCACAGTGGTTCCTAAGGGTAACATTACTAGTAACAAGAACCCCGCCCCCCCCAGCAAAGGTGCATTGGCTTACTTAATACGACTTGGCTCGTCCATGCTCATCGAGCCTCACTCTGTTGGTGAGCGGCGGGGCACAGTACACATGGAACAAGAAAAATGGCGTCCCCCTCTACAACGTCCCTGAAACAAGAAAAATAACTATCAACAAAAAAATTCTCTTAACCCAAATACGACCTCCCCTTGCTGGGGAAATAACAATGTGATCGCGCGTCAAGTGTATGCTCCAAGTCAACCCGTACTGCCATGCCGCGACAGGAAGGTAGCGTTCCACACTCATATTGACTCTGTGCCTTGCTGTTATTATGAAGCTGCTCCAACTAATGGGGTAGCCTTTCGTAATCAAGCACTACACAGAGGAGCAAAAGAATGGGAAACACTGAAGTAGGCATGCAAGTAGTCATCGCCTAGAGGCAGTAATACGATAACGACAAGCTGTACAAGGTCAATACGCCTACTATGAAGAAATATTGTGCCCCTTAGCGAACGCTTTTTTCAGTGAGGGGCACCGTTATAGCGCCTAACCAAGATGCAACGTGCCAAACCAGACGCCCAGCGCAGCCGTCCGCCCACAAATGGTTCTACAGTCACATCGACGCTGGCACTCTTATCGCTTCATAACTGATGTGCATTTGATACGGAGCGCAGCTACATGGATCTATGAAAATATACGTGCAGCCTATCTATCTACGTGCGTATAAAACTTGGCAATATGCCAAAGGGAAAGTCGTCCAGAAGTGTTCGTACAGTGATCGTTGCCGTTTAACATTTTTCGTTCGTCATTTTATTTTTCCCGCTACTAGCACTCTCATTTTTCCCACTACTAGCACTCCTGCAGCCTTACGCTTTTGGAGAGAGAGGGAGGGAGAGAGAGAGAGAAACATACCAGGAATATTCTGCTTTTTCCGCCTTGAACCCTCAATGATCGGAATTTACTTGTTTATTTATTCTGTTTCGCTCTGGATCACTTAGGACGTAAGTAATAAATTTAAAATTAAAAATTCCACAGAATGTCTCAAGCTGCCGAACTTCATGAAAGATCCGAAAAACTGACTGCAGAAGAGGAGCGATTACGTGCAGACGTGAGATATCCTTTCTTTCTCTGTTCCCTTTAGACAAACGAAACTGTAAATGTGACGTGAACAGAACGGCTCCTAAGTCACGAAAGCAGTAATTGGCAATCAAACATGTTACTTGCAATTAATATCATCGAGACCTGTCGGGGCAGTGTCAAGAGCCATGAAAAAAGCCTGGCGTTATTACCACTGGCTGTTTTCCTCCAAAAACGATTACTCGATCACTGTTGGTAGTTCTACCAGCCGGGAGGAAGGGCAGGGTTCTCGTTCCCGCCCCCTCCCCCCTGACACTGCCCCACTAATTGCAAAGATACCGACAATATGTGATTTGGTTTGGAAGGTATTCACTTACTTCAGGGTGCGGTTCTGAGCTCCATGCTTACATTCAGCACGTGCTAATGGACCCTGGATATTGTACTCCTAAGAAATCATTATCCAGCATTACAGTTCAATGCCTGGGGTCAAGCACCTTTCATACTTTGCGACTGGAGAAGCTCACTCGCGCATCGGATCGCAGCGATCGATCGCGCTCGATCATTAATCGTTGGACCGCTTCGACGTTTATGTTGCGTGTTGCAGATGTGTATGTGAGGAAGTTATTAGGTTGGCGGGAAAGTTCTGTCACTTTTTCGAACTCAAAATATTTGTCCATTACCTGAAGAGGGGTGAACGGTAATGTGAGCACTTATACATCAAAGAGTGGTCTTTCTATTAGTACCACTCGCTTGATTCCTGCTTCTTCTTCTGCAATATGGACAAGAATGTTATCCGCTACCATCGCCACCGACCCCTCCAAATGCTTCTGATAGTGCAGCGCACTTCCAAAAAAGTTCTAGCCGTTCCTCATGCAATAGAGCTGGATGGCTCTCCCCTTGCAGTGGTGTAGCACAGACATTGCTCCTTCTAACTGCGAGTTGCCTCCCGTAATCAATCATTACTGGACGAGAAATTACGAGAAAACCTCGAAAAGTCTGAGTTCAAGCCAAGATTGAGATGATGTCCAACTTTGTATCGCGCCTCCCTGCATTGTGAAGCGATGGCATCCATGAGGTGCTCAAAAACAGGCAAGGACCCCGCAGTAACATTGCTGTACAATTTTGATCTTACACGCCTCTCTATAAAAAGAAAGCCCAATTTGAAAAAAGTGACAGAACTTTCCTGCCAACCTACTAGTTGCAGAGGTCTAACGGTTCAAGCGGAGCGATGGGTTTCAAACCGTGCGAGCTGCAACATGTGAGCGCATTTTCAATATATACAGTCGTCATCCGGGCAGACGA